CTCCGCCCAGGAAAGGCCGAGCTCCCCTACCCCTCCTTCTCTGGAATCCTCCTAGCCCACCCCAGTGGCTGCTGTGCCAGGGCAGTCCAAGGTGAGGGGCACAGTGTCAGGCCACCCCGAGCCCATTACCGGGTACAGGTCACACCAGAGCCACGGCCTGCAAGAAACAACGCAGCTGGGAGGTGCCTTCCCCATGCAGAAGCCGCCAAGGGGCAGGTCTAAGCCAAGGCCAACAGGTGAACTGGTGTGTGGCCCACACTGAGTTCCAAGGAGCTGAAGGGGCCTGAGTGGGGGCTGTGGGCTCTCAGGAAGGCGGGCTGGGTGGATGGGCCGAGCAGCAATTACAGGAGGTGTGGGAGATAAACTCAGCCCCCACCTGGGAGCAGCCGGACGCCAGTGGGGAAGGCCGGATGGCAGCAGACGAAGACTGCAGGGCCGACCAGTGCCTGTGTCTGACGAAGCTCCTGCCCCTGGTGCCACCCTGACCTCCCTCCCCAACCCGGCTGCAAAGCAGGTCTTGATCGGCCACCTGCCCACCAGGGGGATGTGTATGCAGCTCAAGGGCGGCATCGTGTGGTCAGAATGAGGTAGTGCGCCCCACCGCCTCCAAAGAGCTCCAGTCATAGGTCCCTCCACCCGTGCGCAGTCCCACCCTGGGCTGGACTCCGATCTCGTCTCCTACAGATCTTCCCACAGAACCAGAGTTTCTTTGAGGAGCAGTCCTGAGGGGCGCAGAGCCTTAGAGGGATGGTGGAGAGAAGAGAGAGAGATGGAGGGAGAGAGGGCGAGGGGGAGGGGAGATGGGAAGGAAAGGTTTCAGGAGGGAAGGAGCCCCTCAGTGAGGGTGTCTGCACCCCAGGTCCGTCTCCTGGGTCTAAGCCACCTTTCAAAGGGACTTTCTAGGTGCATGTCTAGGTGCCTAGCCCCTCCCTTGAGCCCCTCACGCTGCAACTGAAATCTCCTGCCACCCTAGGGGACTTTCCCCCCTACCCCCCGGGAAGGGGAATGGGGCCCAGGAAGAGGGCGCCATTTAGAAAAGTTTCCTGTTTCCAATGTTAATGCAAAGAACCTGAACTTCAGAATCAATCAGATCTCGATACAAATCGCAGATCCTCCCTGTATTAGCTGTGTAACCTTGGGAAAGCCCTTTACCTTCTCTGCTTCTGTGTCCTCATTGGTAAAATGGGGATATCATCCCCACCTTGCAGGGGTGAAGAGGGGCCGCTGTCAGGACAAGGAGTGGTCACTACCCTATCAGCTCCGGGGAGGTATCCGCCTGCTGCCTGTGCGTTGCGACATCTTTCTGCACGTGTGTGCATGTGTCCATCTGGCAATAGATGGTTTGATTGAAACTGGCCATGGTTGCATGCCCCTGTGTAACCCACCCAAGGAGAGAGGAGGTGTGCTGAGAGCCTGAGTACCGTGGCCAACACCAACAGGGTTGGAGTAAGTCGACAATGATGGGGAAGGGGGCTGGGGGGCATAAGTCTGCTAGAGCTGGAGGGACAAAGGCTGAGGCTTTGGGAGACAGAAGGGGATGGGGGAAGTAGCACGGAAAGGGTGAAAGAAAGTCAAGAAAGGAACAGAAGAAGGGAGAAGCGTGCATGGCAATGTGGGAAGTCTCTCAGGGGGCTGTGTCCCCCTCTCGGGGGCTGTTTGAGGTGCCAGGGCAGCAGCATCCAGCCAGGGTGCCACTGAGCCACACCGCTCGAGTGTCCTCGCATGCGTCTCCTTCCTTCTCCGGGCTGCAACTTCTGCACCTGGAAAATGAGAAGAATGTGCTGGCTTCTTTCTCCCAGCCATCTCCTCCTCTCCCAGCCCCACCTCCCAGGCAGGCCGGGATGGGGGTCCCACCAGCTGTCCTTGGGGTAGGAGCTGTGAGGGCACCGGAGGGTGTGCCAGCCGAGGGTGGGGGCAGGCTGAGCACGAACAGGCTCTGGGAGGAAGGAGTCAGAGAAATTATCAGCAATGAAGACCTATAGGTTTCCCCAAAGTATAATTTGAATAGAAATGTCAAGCGCACCTGGAGTTATTATAGCCTGTAATCCTAATGACATACAGTCCTATATACCAACATGATAATATCCTGAGTGGGTATGGCAATGCTGCCTCGCATTAATCCTGCCTTTCTCCCCCACGGGTTTGCTCATCCCCAGCGCCTACAGAGCCTCCTTTGTTCTTCCCAGAGGCAGCCCGTGCAGATCTGCCTGGGTAGACACAGTGGGAGGATCAACATGCTCCCAGAATGGAGCTGTTGTGTCACGAGTAGGGGCATGGACAGTGTCATTTGGTGGTTTCATTTTTTAAAAAAGATTTTATTTATTCATTTGAGAGAGAGAGAGAGAGAGAGAGAGAGCATGAGCAAGGGGGAGGGGCAGAGAGAGAGGGAGAAGCAGACTCCCAACTGAGCAGGCAGCCAGATGCAGGGCTTGATCCCAGGATCGTGAGATCATGACCTGAGCCGAAGGCAGACACTTAGCTCACTGAGCCACCCAGGGACCCCTCGGTGTGACCTAAGTCCCCTGGAAGCTACTGAGCCCCACCATCAGCCTCCCTCTTCTTCCCCACTCTCCCTCTCTAGCATCATTTCCTTCTCTCAGTCCTCCTTCCCCATCTCCTCTTCTTTCCTAGCATCTATGCCTTGTTCTGCAAGGGACACCCCCAGACACAATTCTTTCCTTCTGGAGCCCTTGGGGTTAGTGGGTACTCATCCTGCTGGCTATGCTCCTTGGCTGCAGGGTTTGGGGCTGGGAAGGGGGAGAGACTGTTGCATGAAGTGGGAGCAGCATGGTTAGGGGTTGGTGGGCAGGGGGCTTTCAGAATAGGGCACAGAACATCCAGGCCAGTGAACCACCTCAGGATGGACCCTGGGCTTGTTTTATCTACAGCATAGCCCATGCCAGTCCCTAGGACTTAAAGCCAAGGTTGCACAACTCACACAATCCAGGAATCCTTTCCCAAATCCCATGTTCAGCCTTGTAGAACAGCAGTTCTGGAAGTGTGGTCCCTGTACCAGCAGCTTCAGCATCACCTGGGATCTTAGTAGAAATGCACCTTCTCAGGCCCCACTGCCAAGGGTATGCTGGAGATGGTTTGTATCGCCTTGGGAGACCCAGTTGAGTGCATTCCCTCCCCATCTCCACATTTAGTGACAGTCACATTGAGGGCTTAAAATCAGCCATCGTGGGAATATTTACACCATGGGAATTGGCAGACACCGCAAATCAGGGCTTATTTTTCTTTCCAGGAAGAGTTTCCAGCACACCATTGGACCTCGTCCACACCTACTGAATCAGAAACGCTGGAGGTGGGACCCAGCAGTCTGTGTTTTAATAAGCTTTCCAGATGAGCCTGATGCACAGTCAAGTTTGAGAACCACTGTTCTAGTTGGTTAGCACTGGCAGAATCATGAGAGAGATGGGAAAAAACTAGGGGGTTGGGGATAAAAAAAAAAAGGAGGGGGGAGACGTTGGGTAGCCAAAGAGTAAGGCTTTGCAAGGAAACTTTGGGGAAGGTAAAGAAAGAAGAAAGTAAACCGGACACTGGGCCTTCCGTCCCAGCAGAAGGGCAGCCAGGCACTTGGCAGGAAGCCTTCCCGGATAGAGATGAGCCCTCCAGCCCCGGCACCGGGAAGAGGGGCTGAGGAGGTTCAGGTGCAGCCTATTTGGAATGCTCTGTTTTTTTCAGATAGCTGGATGAGGGAGACGAAGTCAATCACTCCAAGTCACAAGATCAGGAGGGCGTGGAATAACTGGCTGGAAAATGCCCCTCCAGATGATATTTCTGCAGCTCAGAAGAAGACATTGACAAGCAGTTCATTGCAGATACAAAGAAGGGAAATTCTGAAAAGTTTCTTTCACAGAAGAGATGGAAATGCAAAATCACAGCACCATATCCATTACTACTCGTGTAAATGTGTGCAAAATGCCATGGGGGACTTCTTTTCCTTTTTCCAATGTTGAAATATTTCAAGCATACAGAGAAATATAAGAAGTAATATAACCAAAGCCTTGCAATCACCACCAGAAATAGCAAATATTAACATATTGCCACTTTCATGTCGGATTCTTTATTTTTTTTAAGATTTTATTTATGCATTTATTTATTTATTTACAGCACATGCGAGCAGGGGAAAGGGCAGAGGGAGAAGGAGAGAGAGAATCTCAAGCAGATGGACACCGAGCTGAGCACAGAGCCCAAAGTGGGGCTTGATCTCACGACCCTGAGATCGTGACCTGAGCAGAAACCAAGAGTTGGTCACTTAACCGACTGAGCCACCCAGGCGCCCCTCATGTCGGATTCTTTAAAAATAAAAATAATAATAATAATAATAATAATAATAATAATAATAATACAACCTTACATGGGCGCCTGGGTGGCTCAGTCGTTAAGCGTCAGCCTTCGGCTCAGGTCATGATCCCAGGGTCCTGGGATCGAGTCCTACACCGGGCTCCCTGCTCAGCGGGAAGCCTGCTTCTCCCTCTCCCACTCCCCCTGCTTGTGTTCCTGTTCTTGCTGTCTCTCTCTGTCATATAAATAAATAAAATCTTTAAAAAAAAATAATAATAATAATACAACCTTACAGACACGGCAAAGTCCCCTTTGCCTCCCTTTTCCTTCCTCCAAAGATGCAGCAGCTGTCCTAAAATTGATGGATATTCTTCTCATAATGTGTTCATACTTTATCACATATGAATTACTCATAAGTTATACTAACAATGTTTTAAGTGCTTCTCAACTTACGTAAGTGGTGTCACACTGAACCTATCATTCTGGAACTTGCTTTTTTCACCTAACGTGATGTTTCTAAGGTCTGCTTGTGTCGCTGGGTGAAGATCTAGCTCATTCTTTTTAACTGACGAATAACATTAAACTGTACAAATAGACCACAGTTCATCCATTAACCTACTGATGGACATTGAAGTTATTTCTAATTTTTCCCTTGTCACAAATTATTCTCCAGTGAACCCCCTTGAGCTTGTTTCTCTAGAGTATGTCCCTAGAAGTGCGGCTGCTTACCCTTGGGAGAACACATTCCCAGTTATACACATGTTGCCAAATCGCTCACAAGCTTGGCTGAACCAGTTCATACCTTCACCAACGTGGATACGATACATCCTAACATGTTCCTTCTTCCACGTGCTCTTGGGTTGTATGCTTTCCTGAATGTAAAAGCAATTATAAAGATTTTTCTCGTTCATTTCTGACCTTTCTCCTCCTACCTTTACTTTCTCTTAAAGGCTTAAGTTCTTCAGACGTGAATTCTTCCACCACCAGGGTTTTCCAGATCCTGAACCCAGTGGCCCAGAAGAAATGACTGGTATGTGCATTGTAAGGTGACATTATGTGTGTGTTCGTTCGTGTGTGTGACTCTGTCTGCGTCTGTGTGTGTAGCTCTGTACCAAAGCCAGCAAGAAGACGGACTGGGAAGGGCAGGTCTTTTACGGTGTCTTCTCAACAATGCATAAAACCGGGAGAAGAGTACCCAGTGCGACTTAGAATCTACTCTCGTACTCCAGGTCCTTTCCTCCCCCTCTCTTATTTGGTGTGGGTTAGGGAGAGACCTGTCCCAGGATGTCACCCTACTGCTCCATCCTCCCTGCTCCCTGCTCCCCACCAACCTCCAAATACTTCCTAAGCCATGGAAACACATGGGAGAGGGAAAGAGGGGTGCTGCTGCGTGAGGGAGGGGCAGTCCCATGTGATCCATCTGGGGGAAAGGGCTGACTTTTTGGCCCTGAGTCTAACAGCTCTCTGTCCATGCCAAGGGCTGCCTCCTGCATCTGGGCCTGTAGGATTGGGAGAGCTGCCAAAATCCTAGACTGGGCAGTGACAGAGGACAAACTAGATCCTGGCCACTGACCCTGACCCTCAGCCCAGGGCCATACAGAACCGGTCTGGGGTGCCTTCCCTCCTGGGCCCTGAAGCAGGGAGCCTTTAAGGCCTCTGAAATAGACTTGAGAAGAGAGGGGATAGATTGAAGGGACCACCACAAAATCACCTGTCTCACACTAAAAACATTTCAAGATGCAGGACCCCAAGGTGAGGGGAAAATTTCCAGTCACAGTTCAGTGGAAGTATGGAGGGCCCTGATCCAAGGACTATTTTTGAGTGGGATTTTTTTCCCCTCAATACTTTATTTCTTTTTTTTTTTAAAGATTTTATTTATTTATCAGAGAGAGAGCACAAGCAGGGGGAGTGGCAGGCAGAGGGAGAAGCAGGCTCCCCACTGAGCAAGGAGCCGGATGCGGGGCTTGATCCCAGGACCCTGGGATCGTGACCTGAGCCGAAGACAGATGCCTGGCAGACTGAGCCACCCAGGGGCCCCTTACCCTTAACACTTTAAACAGTGTTTGTTCGTAGGGGGTACTGTATTTATCCCTTTTCAAAAATATGAAGCCCGAAACCCTTGGCTTCCTTGTCCCACAGACTCTTTTGGCCCTAAACAGCTTGCCCTTATGGGCAACAGGTGGCTTACTTCAGGCTGGAGGACATCGGTGTGCCAAGAAGGTCCCAGCAGAGACCTCACCTCTGAGCCCTGGTTCACCAGCCAATGAAGATGAACGGAGGTGACGTCAGTACATCCTGTTTCCCAGCCCAGCCCAGCCCGAGAGGATGGGACCAAGTGAGGAAAAGAGCCAATGTAAGTGACGGATGCCATGACCGATGTTGGTAAAGAAGTGGGGTAAGGCAAATGAGTCAGCAGCAAGTTTAAGCAATGAAAATTGCACCACAGGGTGTTTCTCAAATTCTTGTCTACTTTTAGAAAATATGCAATACCATTCAGTTGAGCGTCTTGCTTCTGAAATAGCTACAGAAAATGTTAAAAATGCTGTGGGTGCACTAACACACACAATAGTTAACAATTGTGCTGCGTGCCCCTCAGCAAATCTTTAAGGCTGGCTGTTCTTAGTTTCCTCATCTGTAATATGAGGGGAATGCGTGAAAAATGTCTCTGGAGATTCCTTCCAGTCTAACATTCTGTGATTTGGTATCATGCTCACATTCTTAATTCCCAGGCTGGGTGCACACAATGCCAAGACCACAAGTCAATTCAGTTAGTGTGGACAAAATGTCCTCTCCAATCAATTCTTTGGCACAGTGTCGATAAAACAACTAGTTAATTGACACAATTTTTTATTTCACAACTGGCTTCTCTGGCATCTTCTCGACCAGTCCCTCCAGGGGGGTGTCCTGACATGCTGCATGTCTGGAGCAGTTATAAGGTGTGCCCTGGGCAATTCTCTATTACTAATGAACTACTGAGGTTTTGAAATGATTGGGGAATTTTTTGTCAATTAGAAGAGAGTCAATGTATCCCTATGATAATGCCCATGCCACTCACTTGCACTCTGATGTTCTGCCCTATAAGGAAGGAAAAGGGGTGGACTTAAAGCTTCCAGACAGGGATTGCCTGTAGCCCTGAGCCAAATCAGGGATGCCCAGGGGAGGTTGTCGTATGTCGTGCATGTGAGTATCATCCATCACCTGGAACGTGGCATTTGAGGACGACTGATAGAGACTCCTGATACATAGTTAGACAGCAAGTCACTGGAGACCTGGGCCCCGGAACAATCTGATCTAGATGTGGACTGCTGGCAGTATCCCATGATCCAGCTGCAAGCCAATGGAGAAAGAAAGCATTGAACAGAGTACAAAATGAAAGGCCTGTCTCTTGGTCCAAAAAACATTATTTCACCATAAGCTGCTCATAGCTGGGGAGGGGGAAGGGGTGTGAAATAATGTTTACTGAGCATGTACGTGCCAAGTCCTGTGTCAGACACTCATGGCAGGTTTCAATGCTACCCGCCGTGTAACTTTCTGTTCTCGGCTGTCCAGTGGGATTTGCACTTCCTCCCCATTGTGGTTTGGAATATTCATGTAATACTCGGGCCATGAGTTGTGAGTAGAAGCAATGTGTGTCAATTCAATGCCGGGGCATGTAAGTGCTAGTTTTAGACCCTCCAAAGCTTTCTCTCCCTCTACCATGGGGGCTGACAACAGACAGTGGCATTTCCATCATCAGCCTGAGTCCTGAGCGGCTGTGGAGCAGAGCCCCCAGCCAACTGTGATGCATGTGAATTACACATCACATGGGAGGATATCACAAAACTTGGTTGTGGGGCGCCTGGGTGGCTCAGTCGGTTAAGTGTCTGCCTTCAGCTCGGGTCGTGATCCCAGGGTCCTGGGATGGAGCCCCATGCTGGGCTCCCTGCTCAGTGGGGAGCCTGCTTCTCCCTCTCCCTGCTGCTCCCCCTGCTTGTGCTCTCTCTCTCTCTGTCAAATAAATAAAATCTTAAAAATAAATAAATAAAACTTTTAAAAATAAAAGCCACTAAGATTTTAGGGTTGCTTGTTACTATAGCACAACCTAATTTTATGCTGACTGATACAATGTTTTATATTACATAGTAACATAGTGAGAAAATGTGAGCTTTTGAATTAAAAAGACTTGACTGGAATCTTAACACTTAATGACCTTGAACAAATCCATAACTTCTCTGGGTCTCAGCTTCTTCATCTATAAAACAGTAGCGATGATTCCTATCTCATGATGTTATTAGGTTTGGAAATAGTATTTATAAAGTACCTAGCACAGGATTTGGCACAGAGTAGATGTTCAACTGTAAATTATTTTAATTTCATTAATTCCTCAAAATAGGCCTATGAGTAAACAGAGACCACAGGAGTATAAGAGAAGAGATAATTCGGGCACCTGGGTGGCTCAGTTGGTTGAGCGACTGCCTTCGGCTCAGGTCATGATCCTGGAGTCCCGGGATCGAGTCCCGCATCGGGCTCCCTGCTCGGCAGGGAGTCTGCTTCTCCCTCTGACCCTCCTCCCTCTCGTGGTCTCTGTCTCTCATTCTCTCTCTCAGATAAATAAATTTAAAAAAAATCTTTAAAAAAAAAAAAGAGAAGAGATAATTCATTATTGATGTTTCGAATGCCATGATATGTTATGGAGAGCCCTGTGAATGTGTGAAGTTATCTGTGCCCATCCGCCCCTGAGCTGAGAGAAGCTCTAGAATGGAGAGGTGGCCCCAAGGATACCGTTTCCAATTTAGCCTTTCTGTTGCCAGAGGAAAGGCAGATTTCACCTACAGAAGTGATTCTTGATACCTTCGGCATATAAAATAAAAATATGACAGGGGTGTAGGCTAGTATCATTGTTAACGTCACTGAAGCTTGTTATCCCACCAAGCAAGGTGCCAGACGAGGTCTTTCCCAAAGGTCCCATGAGCTAAACTCTTCTCTCAAATCAACGTATTAGTAGCATCATGCCCACTTCGCCAGCTCAGCCAGGACCCAGGAATAATCGGAAGAGCAAAATGCAGAGGAACGGAGAGGAGGAGAATATACATGGGGCGGGGAGGGGGGAATTGAGGGGCCCTTTCCCTCCTCCTGATCCCCACCAAGCCTGGCCTGATACAGCAGCAGGGGCATGACCGGGCAGGAAGTGGGGGGACCATCCCTTCCCTCCCCACGCTGGTCACTCTGAAAACCATTCCGTTCCTGAGCCAAAACTTGCTACAATTCCCACTCATATTCAACTCAGTGGAGTATGATGCCTCCAAACCCCGTTATCTCCAAGGTCTGCTCCCAGATCTCTTTTCCTCTGAGATGCTACACCATGGCCACAAACTTGGTATTACGACCTACCGTAATGTTTTACATAACATGGTAACATAGTTACTCTGGAGCCCTGTTGAGTTTCTCAATTCTGACTCTGGGACGGAAGCTCTCTGGACATATCCACATACATGGCGTGCAGACAGTCAGGGCCCCAAGGAAGACCTGATGACCCTGTCATCAGCAGTAGGTCAGACAGGAAGAAATGGCTGACCCCCCAAGGTCCTTGTTGAATGAAAAATAAACAGATGCCCAGTTCCAACAAATCACGACATGTTTGGGCAGCTTTCACACTGGCCAACAATCTTCCCCTGACTTGCTCCCAATTAACTTTTGACTTTTCCCATGAAGACCCAAGGCCCTGTGAGAATTCCCACAGCCAGTGGAGTGACTGATCTGCAGCAAACGGGTGATTCTTCTAAGAAGCACGTATTAGATGCACGTGGATCTGCGCTCAGAGGTTTACAGCATCCTAGGAATTGAAATAAGATTGTGACATTGGGTCCTGGCAAGGCCAGTCAACCTCATCGTGATCAAGATCTCAGATTGCACCCTGATCCAAATTAAAATCTGTGAAATGGCTTCCGTGACCATGAGCAGAATAAACAGTGGCTCATGGGAGCCAAGTATAAAATATTCAGGAACTTTGTGAGTCAGTTTTTAAACCATTGATAGCTTGAAATCTATAATGGTAGAAGTATTTACACCATGAAAATTGGCAAACTACAAATCAGAGCTGGTTGGCTCCCTTCCTTCCTCCTTCCCTCCCTCCCTCTCTCTCTCTCTCTCTCTCTTTCTTCCTTTCTAGAGCTAGTTTACCAAGGTATACATGGCTTTTTTTTTTTTAAGATTTTATTTATTTATTTGTCAGAGGGAGAGAAAGAGCGAGTGAATACAAGCAGGGGGATCGGGAGGCAGAGAGAGAAGCAGGCTCCCCGATGAGCAAGGAGCCCCATGCAGGGCTCGATCCCAGGACCTCAGGATCATGACCCGAGCTGAAAGCAGATGCTTAACCGACTGAGCCACCCAGGCATCCAGGTATGCATGGCTTTTTGCAAAGCCATTTCTTTCACTGGAAAAACTATGCAGCGCCTGGGTGGCTCAGTTGGTTGAACGTCCAACTCTTGGTTTCAGCTCAGTTGTGGTCTCAGGATTGTGAGATCAAGCCCCACATCGGGCTCCATGCTCAGCACGGAGTCTGCCTGAGACTCCTTCCTCTCACTTCTGCCCCTCCCCCTATTCTTGCTCTCCTGCTTTGGCGCTCAAATACATAAAGAAATAAATCTTTTTAAAAAAATGAATATTCAGGGCGCCTGGGTGGCTCAGTCGTTAAGCGTCTGCCTTCGGCTCAGGTCATGATCCCAGGGTCCTGGGATCGAGTCCCACATCGGGCTCCCTGCTCAGGCGGAAGCCTGCTTCTCCCTCTCCCACTCCCCCTGCTTGTGTTCCTGCTCTCGCTATGTCTCTCTCTGTTAAATAAATAAAATCTTAAAAAAAAAAAAATGAATATTCATTGGAAAAGCTATTCCAGGGGTAGAATAAAAGAAATCAGCTTTGTATATGGGAAGAACATAGCCCTCTAAAACCTTAGACCACTATGAGGACTAAAAAAAAGTAATATTGATAAAAATTTTGACCAGATAAGGGGCTGTGGCTTCAGCCCCTCTGTTGAGATGGTAAATGGAAAAGCTTTAGCTGACGTGAAAACAACTACATGTAAATGCTGAGTTTTATAAAGCTGCAGGAGTGGGCAGAAGCGCTGTAGGAAGCCTTCCTGAATTCTCAGGAGAGCAGTGGTCTTCCACGGCTGTGGATGGCAGGGAGCCGTCTCTAGCTGCCAAGCCTTGCAGAGAGGCGCTGACACCTGGGACTCCCCTGACAGACCCATGCTGTGGGGGCTGTGCCGGGAGGGACACAGAGCTTTGAAGCATCTATGGTTAGACTGCGTTGTGTCCCCTCAACATTCCCACAGTGGAGAGCCCCAACCCCCGATGTGACTGTATGTGGAGATAAGGCCTTTAAGAGGGTAAAGTTAAATAAGGTCATAAGGGTGGGGCCCTACTCCAACAGGACAGGTGTCCTTACAAGAAGAGAGAGTGACACCAGGGGTGTGCACACCCAGAGGAAAGGCCATGTGAGGGCACAGAGAGTAGGCGGCCATCTGCACTTCTCACCAGACATTGACCCTGCTGGCACCTTGGGCATAGACTTCCAGCGTCCAGAACTGTGAGAACCGTGAGAATATGAATTTCTGTTACTTAAGCCACCCAGCCTATCGTGCTCTGTTAGGGCAGACCTCGCCAACTAACACAATCTACAACGCACATCGCTTGTTTTCTGGTTTTGTCTGCTTATTGGTCAATTTTGCAGTGTAAGACACCTTTCCATAATCCTTCAGACCCTCTTGACCCTGCCTGAGATTCTCAATGGTCCCAGTGACCCAACTGTGATGCCAAAGGGTACAACCCCTTTGGCTGAGTCAGAACATTGGCAGATTACCATAGCGGGGAGACAGAGGTTGAACACGGGAGAACTCCGCTCCATCAGCCTCTAGTTGTAGGATTGTGGGCAAACTTTCATCCCCTCTGTGTCTCCGCGTCTTCACCTGTCAAATGGGGGCAAAAATATTATCCTCCCTTATAGGATTATAGTGAGGAGAAAACAAGATAACGTAACAACAAGCCCATAGCATAATGCTCTGTGAGCCCTCCTTCCTAAGGCCCAGGCAGCCTGGGGTGCAGCCTGGAGGGGAGCCGGGTCTGCTGGCCGTGGCGGTGGTGGGGGTGGGGGGTTTCCCTGGGAGGGCAGGGTCTCTCCTCTCTAGGGGACCTGCACTGTGGAGGAATAAGTTAGCTGGCTGGGGCGGCCCCTCTTGGCACCAAGACCTGCCCCCCGTTGAATTCTTCTCTCTCCTGATTGTTCCCAAACAGGATGGGAACGTCCTCCTCTGGAGAACACTGTGTATCTTAATAAATAAGATAATGAAGTAAAAGGTTCAGAGAGAACCTGGTTCTCAGCATGCACTCATTAAACGTTAACAATTTCGATCTACTCACTTCCCAAAAGCAGTTTTCACCTCACCCTGCAGAGCAGTTGTGGCCACAGGACTGAGGCATAATTTGGACCCTTTTGATAAGAATGGCACTGAGTAACTTTATCAATCAACTTGGTTGGGCTTTTCTTTCTTTTTTTTTTAAGATTTATTCATTTAGGGGTGCCTGAGTGGCTCAGTCGTTAAGCGTCTGCCTTAGGCTCAGGTCAGGATCTCAGGGTCCTGGGCTCGAGTCCCACATAAGGCTCCCTGCTCAGCAAGGAGCCCGCTTCTCCCTCTCCCACTCCCCCTGCTTGTGTTCCCTCTCTCACTGTGTCTTTCTCTGTCAAATAAATAAAATCTTAAAAAAAAAGATTTATTCATTTATTTGAGAGAGAGAGAGCAAGCGAGCCCATTTGGGAGCAGGTCCCTGCTGAGTACGGGGAGCCCCATGCGGGCTTGATCCCAGGACCCTGAGACCATGACCTGAGCCGAAATCAAGAGTTGGATGCTCAACCAATTGAGCCACTCAGGCGCCCCTGCTTCAGCTTTTCTAAGGGGAATTATGGAAAGGTGTCTTATACTGCAAAATTGATCAGTAAGCAGACAAAAATAGAAAACAAGCAATCTGTGTTGTAGACTATGTAGATTTTGTTCATGCCAAAGGCTTCTCCAAGCCTTCCCAAACATCTGGGATTAAACAGGCTGAAGCATGGCCCCCCCTCCGCCGCCGCCACAATGACCCCAGCCAGGGTGTAGTGAAGCCCAGCAGTGGTCCTTCCTGCCATCCTGATCTTCCTCACCACACCGGCTATGTGGCTTTACTGAACTCCACCTGGCTCGCCTCAGGGCTCTCGTGTCTCGTGTCCTTCACCGTGAGACTTGTGACCTGGGAGGGAATAGAAAACAAAGCTTGCCCTGACCAGGACAGGAGAAGTAGGTTTGCAGCAGGAAAGGGTTCCCCTTACGGGTGGTCTGGACCCAGGGGAGTTTGCCTCACTGAGTCAAACTCAGTGAGCTGCCACCTTTGGGCCCTGTCCCTCCGTGTCTGACACCCCAGGTCAGACTGAAAACCTCTTCCAGACTGTCAGCTCTTCCAGTACTGCTCTTTTCGTGTCCCCGGGATCATGCTGAGCGCACAGGGATGCTCAGATAGAAGTCACTTTTTGCTCTGTGTCACCTTCGGGTTAAAAGTCTTTAAAAGCCCTGTCCTGGGATGGCCTGCTTTGTACCTACAGAAGAGCAGGCTTCGCAGAGTCAGATGACATGAGGGGTCAGTTTACAATCTAACCTTATCAGGGACCCGGTTGCAAAGGGACCTTTCGATGGAGATTAGAGATTAGAGATAACGAACTCAGCAAAGAGCTGAGACTGAGAAAGGAATTCAGGTAAGGAAAATCTTCCTGCTGATTCAGAAAAAGGCAGTCACAAGTGTCGAATATTCTGGAAATCTCACACCTTACTATAATTTACTCTCTCTCTCTCTCTGCAGACTACAAGGAAACAGGGCTAAGACACAAACAAAAACACAAGAAACCAAGCCTTCTTCTGAGAAGTTATAAGAGGTCGGGAGAGGTCCTTAATTAAACATCGGAGATCAAGGCAGGAGAAAAGCTCCCAACCAGGCCTCTTGACAGATCCGATCAGATTTGGCACACAGCTAAGAAAGTTAAAAGATTCAGGGTCGATGAATTCTCCCCAAGCCTAAGGCAGACCAGGATTACACTAAATAAAGGATGGCAGCATTGGTAATGAAGATGCTGGTTTACACTTCGGTGCTGGCGTTTCTTTGGATCTAACTCCAACTGCATATCCTGTCTTAAAATAATATTTTTTCTTCTTTGTTCTTGGTTATTTTAACAAAAAGCTCTATTTTAATTATTGAAAGAACACCAATGCCACTAAAAAAGCACACTTCAGGGGCGCCTGGGTGGCTCAGTCGGTTAAGCCGCTGCCTTCGGCTCAGGTCATGATCCCAGGGTCCTGGGATTGAGCCCCACATCGGGCTCCCTGCTCAGCGGGAAGCCTGCTTCTCCCTCTCCTCTGCCGCTCCCCCAATTCGTGCGCTCTCTCACTCTCTCTTTCTCAAATAAATAAATAAAATCTTTAAAAAAAGAAAAAGAAAAGCACACTTGAGTTCCTAATGCTTTCAGGGAACCAAGCAATTCAAGCCCGGCTATCCGGTGGCAGTTTGTTGTAAAGCACTGGCGAGGAGCCTCAGGGGACCTAGACGATCGCTAGATGTGAACCCACAGAGTTCTGGTAAATGCCATAATGCTTGACCAATACTTATTAAGAAACCCCACCCTGGAAGGGACTAGATATAAAAGCCTGAAAACACTGATAGCCAATGTTCTAAGGACGAGTGAATGAACAGTGAGGGAGGATCAGACACAGCATTACCCTGTGGCGATGCTCGTGAGTCTTGGGCAAACATGGGAGCAAATGGTCCAGGCCATGTGGCCAGAGGGAGGCCCGGGACTTCTGGCATATCCCATTCCTCTGGCTCCATCTGTTTAGATGGAAGGGATGACAGGAAGAGTCCCTCAAATCCTCACCTACACAAAGCGCTACACCTTCTGCAGAAGGCCGAGATGCTCTGTGCCGTGTGAAGTCAGACCCCTTGGAGCGAGATGTCGGGGTGCTGAGATATCCTGGGGCAAGTCCCTTGGCTCCGAGATGTAGAAAAGGAAACACTGGGGTCCCGACAAAGAGATCGCAAAGTACCCTGTGTCAGAAACACTTATTTCTCACCGAATACCCATGTACTCCCCCACACTGCCAGGCCTCTTCTCCGAGAGGGGCCGTGTGGCTGAGAACAGACATGACAGGTGTTGTTTCTGGACTGAAGCCCGGAGGAGCCGACCTCTGACACACCAGCTCTCTCTTTCTTGCGTCCTCCACCAGCCCACGTCACACCACTACAAGCCACCACAAGCCTGGGAGTTCCTGCAGGGTCGCCCCTCCTGGTCTAGCCTACGTGTCCTACGTGCCTGGTTCCTGTGTCCGTCCCAGCAGTCAGACTAGGAGGCCGATAACCTCTTCCAGTGACGCTGGTGGGACCTTGAGGAAATCGCTCTTCTTCTCTGGGTATCATTTTCCTCACGTGGACACTTAAGAGTTGGGTAAGTTGACCTTTCTGTTCTGTCATTCCCTGGTTTTGTGTTTCTGAAACCATCAGTGTAATACTGCCTGGAAATTATTAGGTACTGTTACTAGTATTTGTCTTTCCTTATTTACCTACCTCTCTGCCTCTCCATGCCCCCCGCTCCCAGCTACCTATCCATCCATCCATCCTCCCATGTGACTCCTATTTCATTATAAAGGGGGCTGGGACAGTTGGAATGGTGTTTGGCACTCAGCAGTTTGCCTCCCCTTCCCTGAGCCCCAGGGACCCCAGCCATCCTTTGCTGTGATTGTTAATTTCATGTGTCACCCGGGGTGGGCCAAGGTGCCCAGATAGTTGGTCACACCTTATTCATAGAGAAGCAGGGCTTCTGAGAGGGTGTTTTTGAATGAGATTAACATTTAAATCAGTTGACCTTTGAGAAAAATAGATTGCCCTCTATAATGTAGGTGGGCCTCATCTAATCAGTTGAAGGCCTGCATAGAACAAAAAGACCAACCATCCCCCAAGTAAGAGAGATTTCTCCAGCAGACAGCCTTCAAACTCCAGCTGGAACGTCTGCCCTTCTGGGCCTCCAGCCTGCCAGTCCGCCCTGCAGATTCTGAGCTTGTCGGCTCCATAACCCCATGAGCCAATTCCTTATTATATTATCCTTTTGGTTGTTTCTCTGGAAAGCCCTGACAAATACATTTGCTCAGGGAAAAGTAGAGTGGATCCCTGGGCCCAAATGTGGAGAAAGGAGGGGAGCCAAGCCAGGGACATCCCAAAAGGACCAGCAGCCCAGGTCCATGAGTGGTTCCCCCCACCCATTTTCCAAAACATCATGCTCCCCGACATATATCTTTTAGCAACCAGTGTGTTAGTGGCTTGGGGCTTTAGGGCAAAGCTCCCCAAAGCCTGCTTGCCACAGGTCACAGCCACCTTCTCTCTGTGGGCCCTGCCTGAAAGGAAAGACTGCTCTTGAGCTGGAGAGCAGGGACTTAGGTGGTGGTGAGACTTGGTGAGCTGTTGACCAGTACAACCTCAGGATCAGGGATGACAAGGTCTGCCTCCCCTGCACCCTGGGTTGCCGGGAGGATGAGCACGGGTGTGAAGTGCTGGGTGAATGGGAAAGTGCAATGCAAGTATGGGGTGCTCTCACCCGAGAGCCATTCATTTCACAATCCCACTTTCTGCCCAGAGCTGTGCTGGGGATGGAAAGCCAGGAATGAAAGATGCCATCGGTTCTCAAGGAGCTCTCCAGACTGGGGGTGAGAGAGACCCACAGACAGGGGAGTCTAAAAGGTGTGGTGAGTGCTATAATAGATGCATGTCCTGGGTGAGATGCTCATGGTCCGGGGAGAGGGACTCCTTCCTCATCCCAGAGTGGTGGAGGAGGGCTTCCTGTAGGAGGTGACCTTCCTGAAGGATGGGCAGAATTTAGCCAGACAAGGAAAAAGGGGGAGTGTGTTCCAGGCAAAGGGACCTATAGGAGCAAAGGCATGGAGGTGTGAGAGAGTTGACAGGTTTGTAGTTATGGCCCCCAACACCCAGCAGCCAAGTTTTGGGCCAGAAACATGAGGAACAGAGGACAAGGGTACAGCCTAGAGGATGTGAAGAGGCAGGTGGAGGCTGTTTCTGGTCCCATGAGGACCAGGCCCTGTCAATACATCATCCCACTGTCAGTGACCCTCCCTCTCTGCTGACACTGGCTAGGACCAAGAAACCACTGGACTTCCCCACAGCCATGGCTCGCAAGGTGGGATCTCATGGAAACCTCCCCTCTGCACCCAGTGCAAGAATACACACACACACACACACACACACACACGACACTCAGACACAGCAAAACATGCTCAGAGACATACATGGGTGCAGAAATGTAGGGTCCTGACCTAAATTTCCTAACATAAATATAAAAGGGCACACACCCCACACACTCACAAACACACACTAAAAATTCGAGGTCCTGCTCAGAATTTGCCAACACAAAACAAGTGCTGTCACAGCCCCTGCCCCTCAGAACAGTCCCTCCCTCCCCACTGCACCCCCTCCAGACCCAGAGCCACCCACCGTGCCCTCAGCCAGTTAGCAATCCCAGCATCCCATGGACCCCACTGCCCCATCGCCCCCTCCCGAGATGGCTCTGCCGGATTACTGGCAGAGTGAACAGAGCTGCAGAAGAGTAAGCAGCTATTGTGCTGTGCTTTGCAACCCACTCAACTCCCCAATTTTTTTCCTGGAGAATACTTAGCAATAAAGCCTAATTTATGAAGTCCCCACAGATCTGAACTTTCCGCAGAATTGGCTGCAGCTTCTAGTGGGTTAGAGTCACACTGGAGTGGAGCAGAAGGCAGGAGCTGCGCCGGGGAAGGCGGGCAGAGGAGAGTCACAGCCTGGGAGCCACACCAGGCCAGGGTCCCCAAACCACCTTCCTCCCCCCCCCCCCCCCCCCCCCGCAGGGAGCTGAGAGTCACCCAGAGCATGTTGGGGATGGGGTAGGGGGGAAGGGTGACACGGGGCACAGAATGAGTCCAGGAAGGCAGAGGGGCCTGGGGATCTGTGGTTCCTGCGACCACCCATCACTGCTAACACCCTAGACAAATCCAAAAACTCCCCAAGCGTGTCCACCCTGCTTCCTCCCCAGGTCGCAAGACCAAATATGGTTTAAGACTATTTCTCAGATTTTCTCAGGTCTGGGGCACCTGCCCTGGGGTCAGACACTCACACCCCTTCCCCATCAGGCACCCCCAGAGGGCAAAAATAAGAGGCTTAATTCTCCTTGTTGAGAAAATGGAAGAGACTTCCCCACCCCCACCCCTTTCCCTTGTCTTAGAGCATTGACTTAAGAAAATTCGTCGTCGGTAATTGGAAATGCTTTCTCTGTCTCTTTGAAATGTATGTAAATCTTTTCAAAAGCTAAATAAGCCTCTTGCCAGTTTTATGACCCAGGCCTGCCTTTCTCAAGGACCCAGGAAACATTTCTTTGGAATACAACCATCTGGGAAGACAGCCCCCCATCTCCTAGTTTCTGTGGGAGGGTGGGACCCTAACTTCGGCTTCAAGTTGCAAAACTCGCTCTTGTCATAGAGATGAGAAGTTTATTTTGAATAAAAGTAATTAGCAGACACAGATGGCCACCCCCCAAACCAGGGGAATCCAGGATGAGCTATGGGGGACAAATGGTGCTATCATGTTTTCTTACCTGATGGGTTGTAGCTGTTTATATAAAAGGGAAATGTCTCTCTTTGTCTTTGCAATCTTTTAGTAGACTGCCTGTGATGTGCATCCCATTCGGGTTTAATGTTGATTGAATAAGAAAACTGGTTTCTTTCTCTTCTACCTTTGTGAAGAGTTGATTGGGTTCGGAGGAGATTTTGTCCCATACTTTCCTAAAGAGAGTTCAGGGCAAGGCCCAGCCTCGGCCCATCAGGAGGAGGGAGTCACCTGGAGGGAGCAGGCTCAAGTTCTCAGCAGCTGGCCCCAGTCCTCCAGCCCGCAGCCTGCCCTCCTTAAGGGGCTCTTTGCCCTGGGTGCACCTAGCTCCCTTTCCTGCATTGACTGGTAATCTTTTGTTTCTCCCCCAGAATCACAGTCCTATTCAGCAGTTCTCTCCCCGCTTTGCATACAAAGCCCGCACACAATAGATGCTCTGCGGAGGCTGCAGATCCAGTTTTTCTCTTTCTGTGAGTTCCCTTTGTTCCCACAGTGAACCCCCATTCATCTGGACCTCATTCATGACTAATTTTTTTAATCACTTTTCTATGCCAAGACTAAAGTGCACTTTGCTTTTTCTGTGAAGAAAGATTATGTCAAGTAAATTTGTCAATGAATTTGCAGGGAAGCATTTAATTGACTGGAGAGTAAGACTTTTCCTGAGCATTTAATGATGCACACTGGATTGTGGGATGTTGATCCTTTTCTCCTTTGTCCTTCCTGCCCACAGCTGGCCAGGAATCCCATGAAGGGTAGATCCCCTCACCTGGTGTCCGCCCCTGGGCTGCCTTGAAGGGCATGGCCCCGGAGAGGCCATTTGGTTCAAGCCTCTGGACTAATTCTCAACACTGGCTGCAGGAGCTTTAAAAATACATCTGCTTAATGCACATATGCCACCCCAGAGTTCCTGCCTTCAGTGATCTGTGGTGCTGCCCAGGGCAGCCGTCTGTCTTAAAAAGCTCCTGGGTGGTTCTGAGGTGAGAGGGGTGGGAACCTCTGTCTCCTCTGTCAGGGCTCTCCCCCGGAGTGAAGAGGCTCCTGGGTGAGGGCTGAGAGGCAGCATGGCATGCTCGGCTCAGGCTGTCTCTACCAGGCTGCTCATTAAAGCTCCCGGGGAGCTTTTAAAAAGTACTGATGGCTGGCCCCAAGCCTAGTGATTCTGATTTTATTAGGCTCAGTTGAGACCTGGGCACCGGGAGCCACTAATACACAACTGGGGTGAGAACCACCTGGACAGGGGAAAGAACCCTAACTACTCAGTCAGTTTGGCGGGACTAGAATTGGGGGGGCTCTGCTGGGCGACTTTGAGCAAGTTAATGAATCTCTCTGAGCCTCCACTTTCTCAATGTTGGAAGGCCGGCACAGCGTGGGTTAAGTATCTCAGTAACTCTCCCTCTTGCAAATTTACTATCAGTAATTAACTGTACTACCAATACAAATTCAGTCATTATTAGTAAAAAGGCACTGCTTTTTGAGATGAGGAACCGAGGATGCCAGGGCCTCCAGGTCTCTGGGAAGACCATGACAGGTGCTCCTTATCTCAAAAAACCCCATTTCATGGTGCTGGCACTTTTGAATCAAATTTCGGTTCATTAAACCCTCCCTGTAATTCACCAGGGGAACTCTTCGTACCTATTTAAAGTCCTGTACGCTCGATCTTATCGCAAAGGAAGGAATTCTTTTCTATTAGAAATAATCATATTTGTATCCCAGTATAAATATGAAGCAGCTTGCCTCAGGAAATGAGCATCAAACTTAAAATCCGATCGTGTGGGTTCTACCCAATTTGTGTGCCTTTGGCCA